GTTTAGAATTTAGTCTCTCTTCCAGGAAACTGAAAAAAACTAAACAGAATGAAACAAAACAAAATAAAATGCAAAATGTTTAATGCAACAAATGCAATGCAAATGTTAATGCAAAAAATACTAAAATTATTAAAAGTTAAACATAATGAAGGCATGTTTTCACATTGTTTATCACTGAATGAATAAAAGGGAAATTAATATGTACAAATAATATGTTTAAAACAAAACAAAAAATTAAATAAAACCGTGAGTCTAGCATTTGCTAGTTTAGTCATAAAAGTTAAGTAACTTTTAGCATTTAGAATGAAGTCTCTCTTCCAGGAAACTGAACAATGAACAAATGAACGAATAAATAATTAAATAAATGTTTAATGCAAGAAGCAAAATAGTAAAATTATTAAAAGTTAAACATAATGAAGCCACGTTTTCACATTGTTTATCATTGTAAAATAAAGGGAAAATCATTATATAACCATATATTTTCAATAGAGACGATCTGTGTAGTAAAAGGAAACTTTCTAGAATGATGATGCAAGCAAATCATTGAATCAGTGTTTAAACCTATTCATTAAAGCAGATATTAGCTTGGAAGACAAATAAAGTGTAATTCAGACTGCACACCATCAGCAGAAGCTGCTAGATTCACCTGAAAGTTCTTGATGGTTTTTGTGGACGTGCCGTCAGCGAAGGGTGATTTCATGTAGATCATTTCATAAGCAATGATGCCTAGGGACCACCAGTCGCTCTCGGGGCCGTAGCTGCACGTCGGCCCTCCGTTGAGCGCGGACAAGATCTCAGGGGCCAGGAAGTATTGAGTGCCCACCGGGAGTTTGGAGCTCGTCACCTACCCCAACTAATGACATGCCATTCAATTAAATTCATCTGTGTCCAAACTCTGACTGTTCAAGTGGACATGAAACACGGTGCACGAACAGCATGCTTAAACAGATTTAGTCAAATCAAACTCAGGGTGCACATGATCTGTCCTCCCTGAGCTAGCATGTCATCAGAATGACGTTTTCACACTCATTACCGTTCTGTTAGCAGTCAATCTGGCCGCCGATCCAAAGTCGACCAGTTTAATGTGACCCGTCCGGTCGATCAGAACGTTCTCTGGTTTAATATCTCTGACAAAAGAAAGGGAAGTAGAAAAGAAATGAGAACGAGAGGATTTACAAAGCAACTGTATCCTAAATGAGAGAAAAAAAAAATCATTTCTAACACAAATTTAGTTCAATTTTACATTATATTCTCTCTGTAGAGTCTATGAAATCAAAATGTAGTCACATTTAGAATTTAGCTCACATTTACATTTTAGTCTCTCTTCCAGGTAACTGAAAAACTAAAATAAAAAAAAATAATAAAATTTAAATCTCTCTATGAAGTCTATGAAATCAAAACTGGAGTCTAATATATGCTAATTTATTTATAAAAGTTAATATTAGCTTTTATAAAGTAAAGCCATTTGGAATTTAGTCTCTCTTTAAGGAAACCGAAAATGAAATAAAATAATTTAAATCTCTCTGTAGAGTCTATGAACTCAAAACTGGCGTCTAGTATGCTAATTTATTCACAAAATTTTTATTAACTTATCAGGTAAACTCATTTCGAATTTAGTCTCTCTACAAGGAAATTGAAAAAATAAAATTAAATAAAAATATAACAATCTCTCTCTACTCTGTGATATCAAAACTGGAGCCAAGCATATGGCTAGTTTATTCAAAAAAATTGAAATGAACTTAGTAGGGATGTAATGATGCACCGCGAGCCGGTTGAACATAGATACAAATATGTGACGATTCAAATCGGTTTAGATGTTAAACGAATCACGATACATTTGGGGGTGGAGTTTACATGAATGTATCTCTGAGGGAAATTGACTGTCTTTAGGAAAGTTTAGATGGTATTTTCTTTTCATCTCTGTTTAATTCATATTAAAGCAGTGTTTATAAGCGCTGCGCTGCTTTATTTACAGCGGTAAACAAGGAAACGCTGCATTATTACTGCTGCTCCATGACTGCCACCTGCTGTCAGATAGTGAACCTGCATCTCATTCAGCTCATCTGCTGTGTTTGCTTCGTGCACATGTTTTATGTAGTATAGTTTCACAAAACTAAAGTAAGAGCATTCTGTTTTAAAATGTCAAATTATGCAATCTAATTTAGATTAAAAAACTGCTCATGCAGCATGTATGCTGCATCTTTGTTTGGATTGTGATTCCAGTGCAGTGGTTGCCTTTAATTTTGAATGGAAAGAGCACAGGTAGCCTTTGTTTATATGAAGAGGGTTTTTTGTCTTATGTATTTGATTAGATTTGGGGATTGTTTTAAAATTTCAATTTAGTTTTGTTATTTGACATATTTCTGTTTCACAAAGAAATGTGCAGTATTTTATCCAAGCAATAATAAAAGGACACATTTTCATTTAAAATTTGTCTTAAATCTAATTTTGTGAGAAAAAGGTAAAGAACGATATGCACTCAGGTGCGTATACAATCTAATACCTGTCAGTGACTAGCAACAGAAAGTAGTAATTCATGGTAGCTGCTGGGACAAACTAAAGGCTTTCTGCTAGTAGTGTGTGTTTTGTTGTACCTGTGAACGTATCCCATCTGATGGACTGAGTGAATGGCCTGAACGAGCTCCGCCAGGTAAAACTGAGCCATCGACTCGTCTAGCTGATCTTCATATCTGTTCATCAAAGCCATGAGGTCCCCGCCATCACAGAAACACGTCGAACTTCTCAACATGCATTCGATGCAATGGATTAAATCCAGTGTGAAAAATTATCTTTACTTCATATAAAGCAGCTAACAAAACTTTATGGACACTTAAGTCACACTGAAAAAATTGTACGTATAGTTGCATTAAAAAGCACAATATTAAACACAATATTAAATGCTACAGGATCATTTTCTCAATTGCATTTAATCAGCTAGGGTTTTGAAACCTCTTTGGTCAAATGTTTTGTTTGTGAAGTGTGCATATACAATCTTTCTTCATAAATGACACTTGTTTTGACACTTTATCCAATGCAAACACAGTCCGAGTGTATCAGAAGTGAACATAACGAGCACATAACGAGTTTACAGTAAATGTGAAACAGCAGATCTCACAACGTGATCTTACGTAATAATCAGCTGTCAGTGAATCTATTATTGCACAAACCATCTTCGTCCCATCGACACACATGGGTTTAATTAGCAGCCACTCGTCTCGATCACACATCCACATTCTAAATAAAAGCTTGTGATTACACCATTATCATTCTAATTAGACAATTAGCTAATTAGCTTAAACTGCATCTTGAGAGAGTGCTGTATGTGCAAACCCAAAGAAAAACAGCAGAGAGAGCCGTGCGAATGTTGCAGGTATAAAAATGACTGCATGGTTATTTATAGGCACAGTATCTGCGACAATATCAGCCTGAAACCACACCACAGGCTCAAATTAATAACTCTGTAAAGGGCCTGAACATTTAAACAGAGAGATTTCTGATGCATGATCATCACGGACTCCAGCACATGAATGAATATATGCAAATGTAAACGGTTAATTATTTATTGTGATTATTTGGTGATTTACAGCAGAGCTGCATCTCTAATTGAGCAGAGTCTCGTTTGACTGATACATCAATAAGACATTTTTATAAGCGAATGCAAAATAGCCGGAGTCATTTTACTGGAACAGAACATGAAAGTGATCATAATCATTAAAATTACGTCCCAAAATTCCTGAGAGATTATACAAGACTCAGCCACGTGAAGCATGTGAGGGGAAAATGGTTCGATCTCTCATTAAAACACACTTCACGTGCTGCTTTAATTCATCTACTAAATGTCCAGTGTGTTTAAATGCGTCACAGAGCAATTCTGTCATTTTTATCATTTATCTTTTACCATTTTATTATTTATTCAGCCTTTAAGAACAAGCAGAAGCCACTTCCGGTTTCTTTATATTGTTATAAGTAGTATTATGGTTGGTATTATTGTTAGTTTTTTTTTTTTTTATAGAAATACAGAATGATAGGGCTGGGGGGGAAAAATTAAAAAAAAAATCGATATCTCGATTTTAATCGATTCTCATTTTTACGAAACGTAAATCCCAAGAATCGATTATTCTAGCCTGTTTTCAGTTAATGGACCGAACGTTGAAGGGCACCTCCCATCCAATATATCGCAATAAGCATTGTGCTTTGGTACTTAAAACAAATTCTCAGATTTCAAATTATGCCCATTGTATTGCAGTATTCAAACAATAAATGGCATTTTAGCGCGGTTTAATGTGAAGTGACAGATCGCTGGAGCGCCTCAGATCAACAGACGTGAACTGTTCATCTCCTCCACATTAATACCAGTTTCAGCACAAAATAAACATGACTAAACATCCGAAGGTAAGTTAAAAGAAAGAGTATAACTTTACAATCCGTATCCTGTCTCATGTAATCTCTCAATCAGTTTTCAGCCACGCAAACACGTCAATATAACGGCTTGTAAACAATGTCACGTAACATCACATTTACCTCAGAAAAACATATTCAGTGACCATAAACTCATTAGTCAGCTAGAAAAATAAACTGTGGAGAGGGGCATTTTGCAAAATATATGCACCATATAACATTCATTATCATTTTTACCATTCTTTAATGTTTTATTTATGTTTGAATAAATCCGTCCAAGTTTTTATGACAGCCACTATTTAAATGTGTATATAAAAAAATAAAAAAATAAAATAACTGAAGTAATTGTAACTTAATTATTATAAAAACTTCATTAAGTGCAATTTAAGCAGTGGACAGCATAAATCAGTACATTTTAACCTTCAGTATTATAATATAGTACCAACTGACTCTCATCTATATTTTACTGCATTAGTTGAGATTTTGTTTTCCTTAAGAATATTTGGCATGTACTGTACCTGATATATAGCCAAAATAATCGATATTGAATCGAATTGGTCATTGAATCGCAAGCTTGTGAATGAGAATCGAATCGTGAAATTTATGTCAAAACCCAGCCCTACTAATATGGACAGAAATCTGTCTAATAATCAGAAAGAACTGTTAAACAAAAGGAATTAAAATATAAAAATTGCTTTCATATTATTAGTAATAGAAAGGCAAACTAGGGTTGGGACTATGTCTACCAAATTGGCATCGGCTAGGGGTGTGCCCGAAGCATGAAACGTTTACATATGTATTTTTTAATCCATTTTCAAATTATTTAAAATTTCTTAAATATTAATTAAAATGATATCGGCCATCCTGCTTTCCAAGATATCGGCATCGGCCGTCAAAAAAACAATATCGGTTATCGTTAGTGCTGAATGCTTTAAACACTGGCAAGACTTAAAAAGAAATGCAAATTATAAACTATAGTGACACTGCTTCGATTGTGCAAGTGACAATTCCTGTGTTAACTGTGCAGAGCAGCTCGTTTATAGTGCAGACGTCATGTGCTGATTTGAAGCCATTTGTGCATTTTGAGAGGGAAAAAGAAAGCGTGCGATGATTCACTCACGTCTCACAGAAAGTTTTCAAATTACTCTAAGTTATTTAAAAAAGAAATATGAATTGCACCTCACCTTCAGCATTATAATTATTTTACCCGCACCAGACAGAGATTGAGACGGTGCCGCTGCATGTCATAAACCTTTCACAGCAGGTGCGTCGTCAGCTTGAGATCGGTTTATGAGATCGGCCTTTATAGAGACCGCCAATCAAACTTCCCAAAGCCATTATCGGCCGATAGCAATCGGTAGCCGATCAATCAGAGCACCCCTAATTTATAATATGATAAAATATGTTTTGTGTATATATATATACACTATTATTAATAAAATATATTAAATTATAATACATTTATAATATAACATTTTTTATAATTTTATGTGAAATTTTTACATTATATTTATATATACACGACAAAAAATTATTATAAAAATATTTTATTTAATATAATACAATTCTTATAATTTATTCATTATATAAGCAAAATAATTACATATACACAATACAAATACATTATAATTATGTATATGTAAGTACTTATTATAAATAAATACTTTTTTTAATTATTATGTATTGTATTATATAAATATATATACAAATTTATTGTATTCAAACTATATATGCAGTGTGTATATATATATATATATATATATATACACACACACATATACATACACAGTACAATAGATCCATTTTTGGTGGTGAGGCCAATAATATATTGGTAAGCCATTTAAAAATCTGAAATCTCATTGCTAGTTCCACAAACAGACTGACAGATTTCACCCATTCTTTAACATGTAATCTAACATACTGATCACACAGACATCACATAAACATAAAATACCTACAACACAAGCTCTTTTCTAATCACACTTCAAACACACACACACACACAGTCAGTAGCATCACCATGAGTCCCTCGACTGCGTTCTTCATCTGAAACTTCTCTCCACACTGTTACTAAAGCCATGCTCCAGATGTGATCTGCCCCTGTGTGACGGGCTCTGGGGCAAATCAGCACCACATAAACACATGTGTGCGTACACATGCCCACACAAACACACACAAGAGAACATGAATGGAAAGCAAAGCCGGTGGGACACGAGCGGCAAGCATGGAATTCTAGCCCACGTATCCTAGCAACAAGCTAGCGAGGGTCTCTTCAACGCATCGCTCGGGTAAAGACGGATCCCTCGTTTTCTCCTCTCTTTTGCCTGGGGCGTCTGGAACGAGGGAGGTGGCAGAAATAGAAAATCGTCTCTTTAGTCACTTTGTGCCTCATGCGTTTGCCCTCATGATAAGCTGGAAAACCTCCACCACACCCCACAGATACTGCGTGGGGCGACAGCTAATCACTGTCGCTGTGCACCAGTGCAATATTACACAAAAACACACATTTATAGTACTACTGATTCCAAACAGGCAATGTTATAATTATAAGCGCTGTTTGCTAAGGTTAGGGATTCCCTGACCATAAGGCCCTAAATACACAAGTATGTGAATGCAAACGCATCTACTACTAATATAGATCCATACGCTCTTCTATAACTGATGCAGATTAACTATGGAAGTATGATTATCTCTACAATAGTTTGAAGAGACTCTTGCTGTGCAAGTTAACATTGTAAAGTCTGACATTTGAAATGACAGCCAGAAAATTCTAATTCTCTGAAACGGAACAGTTTGTTGAACCTTTGGACGAAATATATTGTAAAAAAGTTTGAATATATGCATTTTTGTTGAGTATCATATTTAATGCATGATGTTTTATGGCTCATACAGTCTGATAAAGTGAGAATATGGAGGAAAAAACAGCTCAAGTTTATTCAGAGACTCAAACGGAGCAAAAATATGCAATCTGGTGCAGATGCTGATATTTATATGATGAAATTCTGATGCTTGTAATGTAAATCAGTGAGATCTTTATAACAGTACAGCAGATGCTGACATCTAAATATCAGGCGTCGCTCTATATCTCCAGTAATTAGGGATGCACCGATACCACTTTTTCCAGTACTCGCCCGATACGATACTTTTATTTTTGGTACTTGCCGATACCGAGTACCGATACTTTTATTGCATTTGTAAATTTTTACAATATTGGGTACAGAAACCAAAAGGGTATGTATAATGTTAGTTGGTTAACTTTATTTATCAAATAGATAGTCAAACCAAAATTTATTCAGACACCTTCAACAT